ATTTGATGAACGATTATGCAGCGATAGATAATGATTTGATGAACGAGTATGCAGCGGTAGATAATGATTTGATGAACGAGCGGTAGATATGCAGCGGTAGATATTTGATGATTTGATGAAAGAGAGTATGCAGCGATAGATAATGATTTGATGTGGAGCGATGAGCGGCAGCGGTAGATAATGATTTGATGAACGAGTATGCAGCGGTAGATAATGATTTGATGAACGAGTATGCGATAGCGATGAGATAATGATTTATGAAAGAGTATGCAGCGATAGATGCAGCGGTAGATGATTTGATGAACGAGTATGCAGCGGTAGATAATGATTTGATGAACGATTATGCAGCGATAGATAATGATTTGATGAGCGAGTATGCAGCGATAGATAATGATTTGATGCAGCGATAGTATGATTTGATGAACGATAGATAATGATTTGATGAACGAGTATGCAGCGGTAGATAATGATTTGATGAACGGTATGCAGCGATAGATAATGATTTGATGAACGATTATGCAGCGATAGATAATGATTTGATGAGCGAGTATGCAGCGATAGATAATGATTTATAGAAAGAGTATGCAGCGATAGATAGCGCAGCGATATTGATTTGATGAACGAGTATGCAGCGGTAGATAATGATTTGATGAACGATTATAGCGGCGATAGATAATGATTTGATGAACGATTATGCAGCGATAGATAATGATTTGATGAGCGAGTATGCAGCGATAGATAATGATTTGATGAACGAGTATGCAGCGATAGATAATGATTTGATGAACGAGTATGCAGCGGTAGATAATGATTTGATGAACGAGTATGCAGCGATAGATAATGATTTGATGAGCGAGTATGCAGCGATAGATAATGATTTGATGAACGAGTATGCAGCGATAGATAATGATTTGATGAACGAGTATGCAGCGGTAGATAATGATTTGATGAACGATTATGCAGCGATAGATAATGATTTTTGATGAACGATTATGCAGCGATAGATAATGATTTATGAAAGAGTATGCAGCGATAGATAATGATTTGATGAACGAGTATGCAGCGGTAGATAATGATTTGATGAACGAGTATGCAGCGGTAGATAATGATTTGATGAACGATTATGCAGCGATAGATGCAGCGGTAGATAATTTGATGAGCGCGATAGATAAGATTTATGCAGAGATAGATAATGATTTGATGAACGAGTATGGAGCGATAGATAATGATTTGATGAACGAGTATGCAGCGGTAGATAATGATTTGATGAACGATTTGATGCAGCGATAGATAATGATTTGATGAACGATTATGCAGCGATAGATAATGATTTGATGAACGAGTATGCAGCGATAGATAATGATTTATGAAAGAGTATGCAGCGATAGATGATGATTTGATGAACGAGTATGCAGCGGTAGATAATGATTTGATGCGATAGATAATGATTTGATGAACGAGTATGCAGCGGTAGATAATGATTTGATGAACGAGTATGCAGCGATAGATAATGATTTGATGAACGATTATGCAGCGATAGATAATGATTTGATGAACGAGTATGCAGCGAAAGATTTAGATGAAAGAGCGAGTATGCAGCGATAGATAATGATTTGATGAACGAGTATGCAGCGGTAGATAATGATTTGATGAACGAGTATGCAGCGATAGATAATGATTTATGAAAGAGTATGCAGCGATAGATAATGATTTGATGAACGAGTATGCAGCGGTAGATAATGATTTATGAAAGAGTATGCAGCGATAGATAATGATTTGATGAACGAGTATGGAGCGATAGATAATGATTTGATGAACGAGTATGCAGCGGTAGATAATGATTTGATGAACGTATGCAGCGGTAGATAATGATTTGATGAACGATTATGCAGCGATAGATAATGATTTGATGAGCGAGTATGCAGCGATAGATAATGATTTATGAAAGAGTATGCAGCGATAGATGATGATTTGATAAACGAGTATGCAGCGGTAGATAATGATTTGATGAACGAGTATGCAGCGGTAGATAATGATTTGATGAACGATTATGCAGCGATAGATAATGATTTGATGAGCGAGTATGCAGCGATAGATAATGATTTATGAAAGAGTATGCAGCGATAGATAATGATTTGATGAACGAGTATGCAGCGGTAGATAATGATTTCATGAACGATTATGCAGCGATAGATAATGATTTGATGAGCGAGTATGCAGCGATAGATAATGATTTGATGAGCGAGTATGCAGCGATAGATAATGATTTGATGAACGAGTATGCAGCGGTAGATAATGATTTGATGAACGAGTATGCAGCGGTAGATAATGATTTGATGAACGATTATGCAGCGATAGATAATGATTTGATGAGCGAGTATGCAGCGATAGATAATGATTTATGAAAGAGTATGCAGCGATAGATAATGATTTGATGAACGAGTATGGAGCGGTAGATAATGATTTGATGAACGAGTATGCAGCGGTAGATAATGATTTGATGAACGATTATGCAGCGATAGATAATGATTTGATGAGCGAGTATGCAGCGATAGATAATGATTTATGAAAGAGTATGCAGCGATAGATAATGATTTGATGAACGAGTATGCAGCGGTAGATAATGATTTATGAAAGAGTATGCAGCGATAGATAATGATTTGATGAACGAGTATGGAGCGATAGATAATGATTTGATGAACGATTATGCAGCGATAGATAATGATTTGACGAGCGAGTATGCAGCGATAGATAATGATTTATGAAAGAGTATGCAGCGATAGATGATGATTTGATGAACGAGTATGCAGCGGTAGATAATGATTTGATGAACGAGTATGCAGCGGTAGATAATGATTTGATGAACGATTATGCAGCGATAGATAATGATTTGATGAGCGAATATGCAGAGATAGATAATGATTTATGAAAGAGTATGCAGCGATAGATAATGATTTGATGAACGAGTATGCAGCGGTAGATAATGATTTGATGAACGAGTATGCAGCGATAGATAATGATTTATGAAAGAGTATGCAGCGATAGATAATGATTTGATGAACGAGTATGCAGCGGTAGATAATGATTTATGAAAGAGTATGCAGCGATAGATAATGATTTGATGAACGAGTATGGAGCGATAGATAATGATTTGATGAACGAGTATGCAGCGGTAGATAATGATTTGATGAACGAGTATGCAGCGGTAGATAATGATTTGATGAACGATTATGCAGCGATAGATAATGATTTGATGAGCGAGTATGCAGCGATAGATAATGATTTATGAAAGAGTATGCAGCGATAGATAATGATTTGATGAACGAGTATGCAGCGGTAGATAATGATTTGATGAACGAGTATGCAGCGGTAGATAATGATTTATGAAAGAGTATGCAGCGATAGATAATGATTTGATGAACGAGTATGCAGCGGTAGATAATGATTTATGAAAGAGTATGCAGCGATAGATAATGATTTGATGAACGAGTATGGAGCGATAGATAATGATTTGATGAACGAGTATGCAGCGGTAGATAATGATTTGATGAACGAGTATGCAGCGGTAGATAATGATTTGATGAACGATTATGCAGCGATAGATAATGATTTGATGAGCGAGTATGCAGCGATAGATAATGATTTATGAAAGAGTATGCAGCGATAGATGATGATTTGATAAACGAGTATGCAGCGGTAGATAATGATTTGATGAACGAGTATGCAGCGGTAGATAATGATTTGATGAACGATTATGCAGCGATAGATAATGATTTGATGAGCGAGTATGCAGCGATAGATAATGATTTATGAACGAGTATGCAGCGGTAGATAATGATTTGATGAACGAGTATGCAGCGATAGATAATGATTTGATGAGCGAGTATGCAGCGATAGATAATGATTTGATGAGCGAGTATGCAGCGATAGATAATGATTTGATGAACGATTATGCAGCGGTAGATAATGATTTGATGAGCGAGTATGCAGCGATAGATAATAATTTGATGAACGAGTATGCAGCGGTAGATAATGATTTGATGAACGAGTATGCAGCGGTAGATAATGATTTGATGAACGAGTATGCAGCGGTAGATAATGATTTGATGAACGATTATGCAGCGATAGATAATGATTTGATGAACGAGTATGCAGCGGTAGATAATGATTTGATGAACGATTATGCAGCGATAGATAATGATTTGATGAGCGAGTATGCAGCGATAGATAATGATTTATGAAAGAGTATGCAGCGATAGATAATGATTTGATGAACGAGTATGCAGCGGTAGATAATGATTTGATGAACGAGTATGCAGCGGTAGATAATGATTTGATGAACGATTATGCAGCGATAGATAATGATTTGATGAGCGAGTATGCAGCGATAGATAATGATTTATGAAAGAGTATGCAGTGATAGATAATGATCTGATGAACGAGTATGCAGCGGTAGATAATGATTTGATGAACGAGTATGCAGCGGTAGATAATGATTTGATGAACGATTATGCAGCGATAGATAATGATTTGATGAGCGAGTATGCAGCGATAGATAATGATTTATGAAAGAGTATACAGCGATAGATAATGATTTGATGAACGAGTATGGAGCGATAGATAATGATTTGATGAACGAGTATGCAGCGGTAGATAATGATTTGATGAACGAGTATGCAGCGGTAGATAATGATTTGATGAACGATTATGCAGCGATAGATAATGATTTGATGAGCGAGTATGCAGCGATAGATAATGATTTATGAAAGAGTATGCAGCGATAGATAATGATTTGATGAACGAGTATGCAGCGGTAGATAATGATTTGATGAACGAGTATGCAGCGGTAGATAATGATTTGATGAACGATTATGCAGCGATAGATAATGATTTGATGAGCGAGTATCCAGCGATAGATAATGATTTATGAAAGAGTATGCAGCGATAGATAATGATTTGATGAACGAGTATGCAGCGGTAGATAATGATTTGATGAACGATTATGCAGCGATAGATAATGATTTGATGAGCGAGTATGCAGCGGTAGATAATGATTTATGAAAGAGTATGCAGCGATAGATAATGATTTGATGAACGAGTATGCAGCGGTAGATAATGATTTGATGAACGATTATGCAGCGATAGATAATGATTTGATGAACGAGTATGCAGCGGTAGATAATGATTTGATGAACGAGTATGCAGCGGTAGATAATGATTTGATGAACGATTATGCAGCGATAGATAATGATTGATGAACTGTTATGCAGCGATAGATAATGATTTGGTGAACGAGTATGCCGCGGTAGATAATGAATTGATGAACGAGTATGCAGCGTTAGATATGATTGATGAACGGGTATGCAGGGATAGACAATGATTGATTAACTCGTAAGAAGCGATAGATAATGATTTGAAAAACGATAGATAATGATTTCATGAACGAGTATGCAGCAATGTATAATGATTTATGAAAGAGTATGTAGCGATAGATAACGATTTGGTGAACGAGTATGCAGCGATATATATGACTGATGGGCGAGTATGCAGCGAGAGATAATGATTTGGTAAATTAGTTTTCAGCGATAAATCATGAACGATTATGAAGCCATAGACAATTATTTGGTGAACGAGTATGCAAACATAGATAATTATTTGGTGAACGAGTATGCAGCGATTGATATGATTGATGAACTGGTATGCAGCGATAGATAATGGTTGAGTGAACGAGTATGTAACGATAGATAATGATTTGTTGAACGTGTATGGAGCGATAAATAATGATTTGGTGAACAAGTTAGCAGCGATAGATAATGAATTGGTCAACCTGTATGCAACGATAAATTATCATGTGTTTCGCTCTGGTGCCAGCATTCAGAATTGAGAACAAAATTCAAAATGATTATTTTCAAGAAAAGCAGATATACGTGTGTGCGTTCTGAAATAATAGAATTCTGTTAGCTTTGAAAAGTTTTGAGAATATTCCCCATTTCCATTTCTCTAAATGATATACGAAATCATTAAAATAAATTCGTATATGAAAAGAAAGAAAAAGAATTTTTGGCTTCCTTTCTTTGGAAAGGAAGCCAAAAATTCAAGAAATCATCAAAATGCAAGAAACTTGATCCACAATACTTATAAGCAATTCGATTGCTCTTTGAATAACAACGAAAATTGAAAAAACAAAAATGAATTTCTTTTTCACGGAATCATTTCTCACAGAAAATTCATCTAAATGGTATGTCAATATATTTTTTTTATTTTTATCGCAAAAATAACTTTAATTATATATCAGTGTTTTTCTTCAAAGAAGTCTATTCCCTAAATTATGAACAATCTACACTTTACTTGATTTAGTAAAACGGGGAAGTAAATCTGATTCTTTCTCTCGTGTGTTGGGGCTTTCACATGAAAAGATATCCTAGTTTTGCTAAATATATCATTACCCACCATCGTAATTAATATTATTAAACAGTATCGTTGATAACAGGGGAAGTAACAAATTCTTTTGAATAATATTCGCATCCAAATAATTTTCATGAATACTGTAATCCTTGAAGTGTATAAGAGACTGAATAGAAACGCCATTCAATAACGCGGTTCCATTGAATCCTTTGAAAATGCTGTTCTGGTTGAAAACGGACTTAGATTAAATGTCTGAAGCCTTTATACAAATATTGTTTTTATGCATTCTAAATTTGATTTCCGAAGAATACAGTATAATTTTACTCGATTATTATAATTCTTAAGATATCATGTCAGTTTGAAGCCAAATATTTTATCATATTTGAAACAGAATGAGAACAGTTTAACGATATACGTTTTCTATTTTTTTTAGAAAGCATGCAGAACTTTTCACACCAAATAACTCTCGCGCCCTGCGTAAAATAAATATAAATCTGTCATTTTTATCAATCCCAACTATGTATGCGGGAAATAACCTATGTCAGATTTTATTATACAATTCAGTGTTGTCCAAATAAAATTGGTATTAATCGATTGATGCTGGTAAAGGTCTTCTAGAAATATTTTATGCGCAATATATCATGTATTTCAGCTTATATGTTCCCTTATTAAAAATGTGGATAACTTTTGTTTTGTGAGCACAAGATTTTATTATGCAAACAAATAATCATTTATAAAAAAAAACAAAACAAAATATAAGCCATATCAATATTTGGTCAACACAGTAACCTATCTACCTAAATAAGTTATTTAGCTGTCAATATGGGCTCCTTGATGCTATATAAAACTCATTATTCATCAATTTTCATAATATTTCTCCTGTTGCCACTTTGAAATAAGTTGCGGTAGTTTTATTGCTTTTTGGATATATTCTTGGATTAATATTTTCTATTCTAGTATGTAATTCTTTTAGTGATAGGTAAAAATTTCCTTCTATTGAACTAAAGGATACGAGTCATTCCATTTTTTATTATATTCTGCCACAAACTTTGTGGTAACGTTGGCAGCAGTAAACTTAAGGGGGTGTGAATGAGTATTGTCATGCATAATCAGTCACGAATAACGTTTCTTGCTCTGAATTGTTCCACTCAAAAACGTTTTGTCAAATAAATTAAAATAACTTTCACAATTTATCTTGAAATCAAACGTTTCATGTACTTATAATTTTACTGCCTATAGTACTACCACCATTTCTCTGTTCTTTTCTAAGTCGCGTTGGTTGACTGCTTCTATTAAGGATTTAAACTCTAGTTGACTCATCATATCATCTCCACATAAATATGATATCAGATTCATTCCAGAATTACATTGGTTTCATCTGAAGAATTCCTCTTTAAAAACATGATTTCTTATACGTTTTGATTAATAGTTTGTAGGCTTGGTGCTTTCCTACGTTTAGCCAGTATTTTTACTATTCTGCAGGTTTTGTTTATTACCTGCTTCTTCATATATTTCCCCAGCAAATAAGTCATTGTAAATATATTTAAAACAAAGATGAATTTAACAGTATAATTTCTATATATTGATTTACATAGCAAAATCTAATGTGTATAAATCATGTGATGCAAAATACTCATTTTAGTAGAATGACGAAAACATACAAACATTGAAGACATGGGCAAGAGAAAAAAATTAATAGCCCAAAGTCTTTTGCGGCTTAATCTTTTCTAAACCCAGTTTTCCTTCCACTTTACCATTTGATTTCTCTTCACTATTTCTCTTCACAATTATTTATCGAAAGAATAGTGACAGACACTTTTGCTTCATTTGAAAATGTTTATCAAGTGCCATCTGAGTGGAGGCAACAGTTTTCCATCATTGATTCGAATCGCATGATGCTATCGACTCGAAGGAAAATAAGGCATAAGAGATAGCAATAAGAAAGCATAAAAGAAATCGATAGGAGGGAAAGAAGGAAGGAAGGAAAGAAAGAGTGGAGGAAGGAAAGAGTGAAGGAAAGAAGAAGCTGTTCGAGTGGAACTTACTTCTCACCGATAGAATACAGAGGGAGTGTGGAGGGGTGCTTCGCTACTATGCTGTGAAGGTTTGCCTCGGTCGGACCAGGGAATGTAGTTCGTCCGAGTACTTTCTTTGGAGCAGTGAGAGGCTTGCCACATCTCGTCTGTGAGGGAGAGGCTGAAAGGTGGAGAATAATTCATCACCCACATGGGCTCGGAGACGCTATTTGAACCCAAGGTTGGAAAGTGAGGTCTGGGCAGCTACCGCTCAAATATTACAACAGTAGTCCATCGTCTGTAAAGGTAAAGGAAAGCAGCGGTATAGTACAACTGAACTATGTCAGTTTAGTAGCCTGGTGAGAGATAGAAACCGTACGCAGAACTAGAGATATCATTCTTCGATTGACAGCGCCCTATTACCTAAAATGGTAACACAAGAACCAGTCTGTTCTATTTTCTGGCTGTTAATTAATAATACCATTTGCCTTTCCGAATTGGTATCTTTCACTTATTTAACTTTTTCTGTTGATTGATTATTTGGCGAGTTTTTAGTAGATCCTTGCTGTCCCAACAGTTGTAGAATAGAAGTACAATTTTTCCTAATAGAATATATACCATTCGTCTAGTACTCTTTGTAGAATATATACCATTCGTCTAGTACTCTTTGTTTCTGCGAAAAATTGGGATAAGCAAGTCATTTGATGACTGTACAAAGAAATAAACTTGTGCAGTGAACAGACACCATTCAGGAAATCTTGTCACGTATCGATTACAAAAGTTATTGTTTATTCCGGAGACGCTGTCAACAGAAAACAGGAATTGTTTTAACTTTAGATCGTATAGTCTCGTTACCAACCAAAGCCTCATGTTTCCAGTGAGAAACTAATATATCCTTTGGATAATGTTACCACAGTATTGCAATCGGCTAATAATCGGTTGCTGTTAGTATTAGCGTTTTGCTGATTAATCGATCATTGGCATTTCTTTCCGGATAAATCAATTTTTATACTAAGTTAATGTTTATTACATTACAGAAAATTCATCTGACTTATCAGTAAAAACTTAATTTTCACTTATTACTATCTTTTTCGTCAACAGAATTGTTCAGATTGAAAAAACATACTGTAAGTATTATTTTTCTCCAAAAACGTAATTAATATTTAGCGCAAGGAATAGATAATATTTTCCAGATATCTCTTTTTTGTTTTCGAATATCAGCGACTGTTTTTAACTTCCGGTTAATCATGTGATCATCCCTGACAATTAAATAAGAGCAAATGTAAAGTGAAAATGTTCGTAATTTTGTAATATTTTACCTTAAAAATGTCGAATTCTACTCCATCTCATAAAAAGAGAAAATTATCTGAAAAAGGACGTGTGTTTCAAGAAAAGTGGGAATTACAGTACTTTTGTATCATTGTTAATGGAAAGATAAACTGTTTGATTTGCAACCACTTCATTGCGACGCCAAAAGAATATAATGTGAAAAGACATTATGAACCAAACCATCGATCTTATGATAAATATGAAGACGATATGCGTGTTTCAAAAGTGAAGGAATTCAAGGTTAAGTTCACACAACAATAGAGCTGCTTTACAAAAAATCAGAAAAGCAACGTTAGTTCTGTTACTGCAACCTTTGAACTCTGCAAAATGATCGCCATCAGTGGAAAATCTTACAGTGAAGGAGATTTCATAAAGCGATGTCTTATAAAAATAGCTGAAATTATATGTCCAGAGAAGTCACACTTATTTCAAGACGTATCATCAAGCAAGAACACTGTTGCTGAACGGATTGATGAAAAGTCAGGTGATTTGAGTCGACGATTTGTTGAAGATTTTATGATCAAGTTTTGAACATTTTTCTATTGCTCTGGATGAGACTGTTAACATAGCTGGAATAGCACAGCTCACCGTTTTCATCAGGGCTTGTGACAATGAATAAAGAACTAATTGAACTGGTCCCAATGCATAATACTATAACAAGCCAGGACATTTTTGAGAAAGCTGAAAAGCTTCTCCATTAAAATGGCCTTGATTTGACTAAACTTACTACTGATGGTGCTTCCAGTATGGTTGGGAGACATGCCAAGTTAGGTACAAAAATAGAAAACATATATCCAGATTCAATATTCAAACAGTTTTATTGTATAATTCATCAACAGAACCTATGTTCTAAGATTTAAAAATTAGATCATGTGTTCACTATTTACATTATTCGGACAATGGTTCTCATCTTTGTCGCCATATTTATTGCACGCTCCGGCCTTCTTCAGGTAGTTGGAAAGTCGAACTGAACCCTTTATTTCGCTCTAGTTTCTAGTTTCACGTGACATGTCTAATGTCAGTTATCAGTTATCTCCTGTTAATTACCCTGTCCAAGTTTTCCACCGCCTTAAGCAGGTATTGAACTCACACTCTTTGGGCCATGTCACTGGATCTAACGCCTTTATGTGCCATGTGTCCTTGAGGACATCTGTGTATGTATTTCTGGGCATTATAAACGTAATGTCTTCAGCAACATTTTTTACCAGTGCTCATATTGCAATTTATACTGTTTTATTCCATGTTTTTACTAGAGCTTATATTGCAATTTTTGTTATTATAGCTTTTCTCTGGCATTCCTTATTACTGATTCACATATTGTATTCATTTCTATGCTTGGTCGGCTCAGGAGATTTTTGTGGCCTAGCATATGTGCTGATTCCTTAAGTTTACGAAGTTTCCAATGGTGTTCTTTGTCTATGATCTCAACCTGATCCCACAGAGGGCAATGATCTCCCTTTTCTCTCCATATGTGGTCAGCCACGCCTGATTTTCCACTTCCCCTCGTGTTACAGCTTTCTGGTGTTCTTGAAGCCTTACCTTAAGGGGGCGGCCTGTCCCCCCTTTATATTGCTTTCCGCAGCTACACGGGATAGCGTACAGGAAATTGTTATGTTTTATTGGATATGAAGGGTCAAAGCACAGATGAATTGAAAGTACTAACTTGTAAGTATTTTGTATTTAAAGTTTAGTTACCACTAGCTGTGATTAATGTAAGACTGTAAGCAGGCGCGGCCCTCTATATGCACTGAGTTTGACATGTCTGTTCTAGACGGTGTCTCGGCTTTACGTTCAAAGTATCCACATTATGGATGGGACATCATTTTCTTAAAAAAAGTATTTTACTCACTACAGTAGAACATTCAATAAAAATAACGTTTGTCATTATTATATGAGAAGTGCTGAAAATTTCACAGCCTGACCTATTTTCTGAAATCTGGCCAAATTACTAAATCGGAACATTTTGGAATATCGTAGGGAGTCTTCCAGCACTCCAATATATAATAACTTAACCCATAAAAATACAAAACTGGGCATGAACTGGTAGGAAGGGTAATTCGCTAGGAAATGTACAAACAACTAGGATCTGAGCTTGCAAACCAAAGATATAGACACAAAGCAGATATCCTAATCCAGATGAGAAGATCACCTCTAGTTGCAGTGAAACGAGAAGTTTGCCAGATACTGGACTTTGGGCCAGCAAATGAGAACATAAGATTTAAATAACATGAAAACCATTGCAAATATTTAAATTTTGAAAGAGCATTGAAAAATGTGGAACGCGAAGGTGTCACTTCCAATGATCGTTTTTGAAACGATCTCAAAAGAGTAAAAAAAGAAATCGGAAATCCAAAAACGAATCAGCCATCCAGACAATAGCAGTTCTGTGGACAATTGCTGTTACTACAGATAACTAGTAAAAACCTAGGCAAAGTTCTCCAGCTATGGAATCCCTGGAAGGGTCTTCTCAAATATAAATTCCTTCCTAACGGGTAGGTTCCTGGACGTAAGTTAAAGGCCAGTTTTCCGGGGCCCTAGCAATAACGTAGGCGTTTCCCAGGGGTTACTTCCCGGAATATTATTTGTGAATATCTAGGCCGATGATACGACGATATATGGGTACACTTCTAAAACTCGTGATAGTCAGTGATTGCCGGATGATCTCTTATTCAATCTTGCTCGAACTTCTCAGTGTGTGTGGGGGGGAGGGGGGAACTGGCGGGTTGCTTGCAATTCTTCGAAAACTAAACTAGTTACATTCCATCATCGCCGATCTTCCCTGTACTTCCACCAGTCAAAATGAATAGATACCCCCTCTCGGGGAGGCTTACGTGCCTTGAGAGACTATTAGGCCTTAAACTCAGTCCTGACCTCAAGTGAAACTCGTACATATGATCCATCGCTAATGTTGCAGGAAAATCTTGGATTCCCTGTATCGCTCCAGTAAGTACTCTTCGTCCTTTTACAAAAGCCAAATCAGGCCTAAAATGGAGTAATGTTGTCATATTTGGCTGGAGCTGCCAAGTTCTTTTTCATGCTAGACGCAATCGTCAGGCCTGACGATTGTGTTTATTATGAAACAGCCTGTCGCCTTTGACTGTTGACTTCAATGTTCACTTTTGTATTTATATTTACATACGCTCCATCTCTGATATTAAACACACAAATGACAGAACTCAATAAATGCTCCCCCGATTGCAGACTCATGTGCCTGTGATTTCCCGGATACTAATGGAGCATGTCTATGTATAGAGGCAGGCACGTGTTGCGCAGTTCGCACCTCCAGCTGATGGATAGTCTTACCTACATCGACACTTAAAACGATAAATAAATAGACATTGTTGATAGGTGGGCAAGACATCCTTATAGACAGAGGGAAAGCACTTCTAGTAGTGAAGATGTTTCGTACAACTCCGAATTGAAGCAGTGCGTGACAGTTGTTTTAACAAAACAAGTCGTCCGTGTACCGGGATGCCAATTCGCAGAAACAAAACAAAATGGCTTAGAAAAAAATAATCGTGTGCCGACTCTGAGAGAAATCGAAGACTTTTTCAGACTAAATTTAATATGAAAGCAACAAAATTTGTAAAGATGCTCCAAATTCATAAATGAAATTCATTAATACTTTTAACTATTTTTATGAAACTTTCGGCATTGATTTATTGAACTAGGCCAGAAAATTTGTGTTTGTTTTATAATTAAGAGAAAGAATTAAAGATACTAGTCAATATTTTGGCGATTTCTTCTGTTCGTAAAAGCTTGATCAGAAGAGATATTCTATATATTTTATATATTTCTTAATCTTTTGGTCTCTAAACTAAATTTACACATTACCTATCTAAGTATATTTCTTTCTCTTATTTTCGTTAAACGTATAATGAATATTTACAATACAACAAGGAATTTAATGCCGTTTTAATATTGGAAAAATGTAGTCATTGTTCATCAAAAATAATACAGACAGCATTTAAGAAATTTGGCTGAAAGAGAAAAAATTATTTTTGAAAGTTTTCATTAAGGATTAATCAAATAAAAAATGTTTGACACTTTATAATCATAAAATAATGATCCGTCCTAAAACTATGTTTATTAATTAATCATAATTTTTTGTCTTTTATGATTACTATTGCATACAATTTGTCTGATATGCAACATTCCAGCGTATTTTCTGAACGTTTGTAACAGACAACATCAAATGGATTTGACTGAACAAGGGAAAAAACGTAAGTAAAATGAAGGACGTGAAGAGAAAAAGCATAGCAGAAAGAAAAGCTAAGAAGGAGAAAGAAATTAACAAACTGTTTTGAAAAAAGTTGAGAGAGAGCACGAAAGAAAATAGAAAACAACAGAAAGGTATGCAGGCTGGGGGAAGAACATCAACGGGAATTTGTATTAGTTTAAAGTTAGTTTTTTTTAAACAATCACTTTTAAAGGAAAGGTGTGTCATTACGCATAACTTATATTTTTTGTGTATGCAGGACGGGTAACGTTTGCGTACAGTAGTGAGGAAAAAGAAAACTGTGTAGCCAGACGGATGAAAAAGTTGATATAGGAAAGCACTATAACAGCAATGTCAGGATTATCATCGTCATTTGAAACAAGTTGTAAACGGATTGTAAACGGATCAGATGTAGAAATTATTAGGACAAATAAAGTTACATACATTCATCTAAAATATTAGGTACCGCCAAAAAATGCCAAAAAGCCCCCAAAAAACAAAAAACAAAACAAAAAAAAAACAAAAAAAAACAAAAAAAAAACAGAAACAAAAACGCAATACCGCAGTTTTAAAATGAATTTTTAAAATTGAAAAATCTTTCTTGAAGCTTTTATTTTAGTTTTAATTTCAAGCTAATTGATTAAATTTAATATTTCTAACCAATATATTTTGCTGGCATTTCAAAAAATTAAAACAAATTTAATAATTTAAATTACTTTTAAGTTTTTAAAGAAAAAGAATTTGTTTTTTTTTTTTTTTTTTGCTAAAATAACTGATTATTAGTTGTCTTTCATCGCAATGCTATTCTCTTCATTAAAAATCTCAAAATAAAATATGCTTTTCGGAAACTTTAATTGAGAAATATTAGAAGATTTAAAGCATAATTAATCTGATTTGAAAAAAATTATTTACTTTAAGTTTAAAATATCGAAAATGAATTTTTCATCCTGACAGTACCAGTAGTTTTAAGCAATCTTAAAAAATTAAACATTTCCGTAATCTAATATTTTATTGAACTAATATTTTAATTCAACTAATGTTTTTGGCGGTAAATTGATTATAGTTACCGCTCTTATTTTCTGATAATGTCGTGTATGGTTCACCGTATAATAGAAAATAGGCTTGTAACATATAAAAAAATTCAAAATTCTTTTAAAAATATTAGTGCATGATGATTTATACTAAGCTTTTTCAATTATGGTTAGTAAATATAGTTCTTTTGTAACAAAATCACCACACCGGTCCAGAAATTTAAAAGATTTAAAAATCCGTACAGAAAATTAAGATTTAAATCATTATTATTTATTAAAAATTCATTTTTTTTCATTAGAAAACAATTCTTGTAAAAATTCATTATTCTTCGATTTTTTTCTTAAGACAATAGTGTCGATAATACATCTTATTCATAAAAACAATTAGAATCTTTTATACTTAAATAATATCTTAGTTTGATTGCCTTTTTTAATTTACGATTCAAAGCAGATTTTCGGAAAATGACTAATTGTTTGAATAAAGTTTTACATTCTCCAAGGAATCCTGCTTTAAACAAACAAAATAAGAAGTGAGACAAAATTTACTATTTTGAAATTTCATTAGTAAAGAGGGACAAAAGATGTAAAAAAGTATTTCTACCAATGTTCTCTCAAACAGATAAAATAAAATAAAATAATTTCATTCATTTGTTTCATTAAAATCCAACGATTATTTTATTTTTGCAAGAATTTCCAAATCAATGTGTTTTTTTAGTGGAGAAAATGCGCTAAAATTCCCATACTAATCCAGCGCTGATGCAAAAAACAAAAAACATTTCTAACCAAAATTTCGAACGTTATCTAAAAGATAAAAAAAATTGAATAAAAACAAAACTATTTTAAAACTGTTTAGGGGAAAATGCGGTTTCTACCAGAAACAGTTCATAAAGGATTTTGAAGGTTATGAATATAGCTGTTTATATTTCATTTAAACTGTCAAATCTAATATTCAGCATTTTACTTAATAATATTCAAATAAAAAATAACAAAAATCCAAATAAAAGTCTTTGTCGGGAAATAGCGACAAGCGAGTTATTTTCGCTAACATTAAACTTAAGTTAGGGTTCCATGAAAATAATTGTACGAAAATGAATTTAGTTTCAGGGAAAGTGCGATAAAAATGACTAAAGGAAAAAAAATTTAATGCAGTAACTCATGTTAATATAGTATAATTAATTTTCATACACCAAAGTGTGTACCCATTTTTTTTATTTCTGGAGGAGGAGATTTAAGCAAGTAATATAATTTCTTGTAGGACATTAGCATTTAATAAAATATGTCATTAAAAATAAAATAATTAAGGGCTGATACCAACCTTACAGTCTCGGGGTTTCAGAAGAGCAAAACTAGTATTTGACCAAACATGGTTCTCAGCATTGATCATTGAAAACGCCACTTTTACTCAAATTTCTCATCGGGTTTAGGCAACAGGATCATCGATAGAATAGCACTATCAGAATATTCATAATTAACTTAAAAAACAAATGAAACGAATAAAACTAAAGAGTAACACTGTCATCCATCGGACAAATATACCTATTTCTTAATTTACATATGCAAATCATATTTACCTCTCTTATTATTACTGTAATTTTACTTCACTCTTGCTAGAATATGTCATAGTGTGGCATATGTTTCACTATCACTATCGCTGTTACTAGTAGTAGTACTTCATCATCAACATTATTATTATCATTTCTTTCACCATGATTTTTATTATCAATAAAATAATAGCATCAACAATAATTTATCTATTTATTTAAATGATCCTATAAATATAAGACAACTTATAGTTGTCTTATAATTATAGCCAGAGCCACCGGAGCGTAAATTTCCAAATTTCATTAAGTAAAGAGGGACAAAAGATGTAAAAAAGTATTTCTACCAATGTTCTCTAAAACAGATAAAATAAAATAATTTCATTCATTTGTTTCATTAAAATCCAACGATTATTTTATTTTTGCAAGGATGGTTCTCTTGATTTAAGAGAACCATCCTTGCAAAAACTAACCAGACTTACTTTGTATCTGTTCAGGATATGCCTTAGTGTGACAGTTATTGCACACAGGTGGGGCTTCTTTGTTAAACCACTGACTGAAATTTTGAGTGGAGAACCATTATATGTTGATTGAATGGAGAAGTTTATTCTTTCTGCCTCCATCTTCCAAAATATCTTCGGCTTGTTTTCTTTTTTCTACCCACTCCAATTTCATCCACTAACTCTGTTTGTTCTGAGGCATCGCTTGAACACATCACATTAATATCTCTTGAGAGTGGACATCATCCACAACTAGTTTTCGCCGCTCTGATTACGGTGCTTTGTGCCAGGAGAGTTTTCTGTCACCCATGCAGAAGTAATTCCTTCCATGATGAACTTGATACAATATAACCCCGTGGCAGAAAGAAGAGATAGTTTTTTGTGTCACTACCTTGGACACTTCTTTTATCAGGGTTGAGGTTGCTACCTGGATGTTCTTTGATCCTGTCAATGTCATTTCGAGACTCACTTTAGTATTCCTAAGCTATTCCTCACCCATTGTGGAAGACCTAAGCATTTTTCTAATGTAGGAACTAATGGTATTCGTTTTCAACATTTATGAAGGAGAGGTTAAGTAATATCCCAAAGTGTAGACACCAGATTTTCTGCTTACCAGGCAGTAGGGTACAGTCCCTTAATCATTTATTTGCTGGTCACTAATGCCCTGTTGTTATACGCAGACTTTTAATTATTTTGTCCGATATCGTTGGTATAGGTTCCTCATTAATGAATCTTTATGTTTCTATTCTGCCTTTACTAATAGAGATGCTTCTTGATTTAGGTTGTTTTACTTTCAGCCTGGTTTTGGTAACATTTTCTGCAGATTCCCTAAAAGGCGCTTGTACAGATGTCGTTATTACCGTCATGTCATCCATATACACCCTCTACTCGCATTTCAATCGCTCATCTCCTACCAGGCACCTATAGGCACTTATGATCACTTCCATCGCATGGTGAATGCCAAAGGTACAGCGATTATGCATATAAACACATAATTCAGACAAACAAAAAATGCATCTTTAATATCTACCGTAAAATAATTTTTATTCTTCAGGACACTCTTGAACAATATTATGGCATTGGCTAAATGAGCATTCATTTATTATAAAAAGAGGAAAGGTAATATTTTTAATTTAAAATAATTCGAAGTTTTCAAATTTTTCATGAAAAACTTTTCAGTGTAATACAAGTGACTCATCTCATTTGTTTATGAGTTCAGTATTCATTTTATTTTATCTTTTCATTCAATGATTCTTCTGCCCCAACTTTGTCAAGATGCCAATCACTGTTTCTCTTGTGAGTTTATTGAAGTAATATATCTTTAATTCATTTTTAATTTTTATTATATTATGGTGTTCGGAAAGTAATTATATATTTCATCACTATGAATTATGAGTCAACCTACCACGGCAGAACAAAGGTTGAATGGAAGGATTAGTCTATCATCGCCTATATCCAATGGCGTTTTGTTTATAATGCATTGGAAAAAAAACTTGAAATGGGTGTATTTGGATTCCTCATAAAGTTTCTTTTGAGAAACGAACAAAGGGTTTCACCATCAGCAGTTTAACCAGACACGTCAACCGGTTACAAGTGATGAAAAATGCCAGTGCCAATGTCAAAATAAGGACTCCATCCGCAGAAGTCTTTACGTTGTGGAATATGGAAATGACATCCATTACGACCAAATGGAACAGGTAAGGATTATCAATGCAGATATTTATTGTCAGCAACTTGATCGGGTAAACGAAGTATTATTTCCTGCTTTGATAAACATAAAACGTGTTATTCATGACAATGCAAATAAACCTAATAAAATCCAGAACACTTACCAAATTAGACAGATATTCATTTGTTTCAATCATTTCAGCATTTTATAAGTAGCTGTATATCGCGAATAAAAAGAGAAATCGAATACAGTCTTTCACACTTCATTCAGGGGTAAACACCGAATTCTTTAAATAGGGAAAAACCGTTGTTGAAAATGAAGGAATTTGCATTTTTGGTAAATAATATTTTACTAAATTTAATTTATATTTGTTTTTTATATCGTTTCTAGTAACACAATTTCCTAATACACTCATAAAACTGTAGACACGCTAGGCAACATAATGATGTCGTGCAAGCTCATCCCCACTCTATAATAAATAATATGATAA